TGTTTACTTTTGGCTGCATGCTGAAACAGAGGGATGAGGGGAATAGCCAGGACCGTGCTTTTGCCACCATTTGCCCACGTCCTGGCCACACGTTACGGTTTTCTCTTCACCTCTTCATTATCGGTTTTATCCCTCACGCTCTTTCTGGCCTCTTCAGGCATTCAGGGTTTCAAGGACCTATTTTTAAAAGTGAAATAATATTTAGTTTTAGCTGTTGCCATTTCCCGGCTGTATTTTACCACGTGGTGGCAGTTCTATGATGTGGTTTACTGGTCACTGGAAAGTTGACATCACCAAAAGCATTTCATTCACAATCTAAGATTTTTGTGATGAATTACAGGCCTGCAAGTGAATAACTGGAATTGCAAAGCTGTGACTTGGGTGCTGCTTTGATTGAATTTTTATCAAAAGTGAAGACTGTCCATGAAGGAACTGTTGCATGCACCGTGATTAAGTCTCTAACACAGGACTCCTCTTTTCCCTTGTACTCCCACATCTGTAGAATTTTCCAGAGTTGTTACTGTTACGTGCCTCAACAGTGTGCCTGGGAGCACCAGCCACAGAGCAGCTCCCATCGAGAACCAGGTTCTATTTTTACTCTTCAATAATTTTTGAGGCAAGCCTCTGAAACTGGCAGTGGGCTGAAGAAATCTGGGGTCTGGTTAGCAGTACTGCTGACCCAAATCAGGTAGGAAGCTCTAAGGYTGGGGGCACAGTCGGTACCTGTGAGAGGAGAGGCAGTGGTTCATATTTGAAGAAGCAGCAGCAGCAGACAATAGCAGAGGCTGTATTAACTGTGCTCACCGGGCTTCTTCAGTTCAGCAAATGTTGCCCAAAGCAATGTTGTTGACAAAGGCAAATGAAGCCCCAAATCCATCGATTTTTGAGTCCTATAGCAGGCAAGTCTAAGGACCTCAAAAGCAAGTGGTTTGAATAAACCTAGGCTCCAAAGTATGAAGAGCAATTGCTGAGTGCAAGGCAGGACAGACCATAGWTGTCTTTCCCATAGGTACTTGGATGCTGTAATAATAAATGGAGAAAAAAATGTGCTTTGCTTGGTGAAATGATGAGAGATGACTTGGATGCTCTCCAAAAACAACTACACTGACCACAAAGGTGTCATCTTAAAAGATATTACCACTTGACATGTCTCTTTACATCTCAATTTTTGCAAAACTAAGATAATCACTAATGAGCAATCCTCTTTGAGGCCTCAGGTTCTTATTCAAAAGTGTCATGGGAAAAAGACTGTGGAAACCCCCAACCTTGTTCTTCCAGATTTTTTTCTGTTGAAGGAAAGAGGCCCATGCAACTCTATCTTTTCTGAAATGTGAAGAGGGAGAAGAGTAATTTTAGCATCCATGACACACAGCTTCTGCTGCCCTCGGATTGCTCAATGGCACAAAGAATAAATATTTCCTTAAGCCTGAGGACAGGACTCTGAATGCTGCTGATTCCCCCCTTCAGAAGTACCTGAAGTGTGTGTGGTTTTTTAAGGTCTGAGTAACACAGGAGCTTTGTAGCACTGCCATCGATGTTCTCCAACCCTAAAAGCACAAGCACACTCCTGCTTAGTGTCCTTTTCTACAAATAAGCAAGAAAAATCCTAAACCTGAAAGCRAAAAGGCTGTCTGAAGCTCCACACCAAAATATAATCTTTCTGCAAACCTTCATGTAAGAATGCCTGGTTTTCCAAAGAAGTCTATTGTGTTACTCATGTGCTCAGAGGTAGGCAGGTGTTGGTGTGCTTTACCAAACTGAGTCCACCAAGCCTGGAGGAGGTTTGTGTTTTTTCCCCTAGATTCTTCCCCTGTCATATATACTTGCTCTGAGCTAATATTAATCAAATTGGAAAGCTGCATGTCTTTATATGAACTGGTGCAAATCTGTGCTTTTCACACTTTCAAAGTGAGAAATTGAATTTACACGGGATACCTAGAGCTCTTTGAAGCACTTACTTGCATGTGGTGGTGGGATTTAATGAGCAGCTTCAGTAGCGAGACCATTAAAGGAATGACCAGACTGGGTTTTGTCTCATTTAAGCACTTCAGAGGAAGTTGTCACTTTCTCTCTCTAGATAAGAGCTTGGTGGTGTCCAAATCACTCTGACCCACAGGCCAGCATCYGATGAGAGGAAGGATGTTCCAGGGGTTACGGAGCAAACTTGAGCCTTGGGAGACTTGGTTTGGTTTCCTGTCACCTCTGTAAAGCCAGATGGCCTCCTGGTACAAGTTCCTCATCTGCGAATGAATTGCACTTCCCTGTCTCAGAAGGACACATTGGCAGGAATGTGCTGGCGATGGCGAAGCGTCAGGTCATCGTGCTGCCAGCAGAACAAGTACTCCTCAGCCCCCAAAGGAAGCTGATGTGCAGTTTGAGACAGACACATCTGCCTGGCAGAGGGATTAACAAGGGATCCTGACATCACCAGTGTTAGCAAAAGGTCCTGAGTTTGGCTCCCACCATAAGAAAACTCCAGGTTGCTTTGGTTTYCCTTCCTGTCCTCTCTGCCCCCAGCCTGTCACACTTGGCAGGTCCAGCCAGTCCATACCAGGCCAAAATCTGTCACCTTCACATGGAGGTTAGCCCAAGRGTGCTGAAAGCCTTGTCTGCGGACCGTTGGGCATGAATCAAAAGAGGGAGTATGGCAGCTTTATGAATGTGCTGGCTTTTGCAAAAAGGGGAAGGACACRGGCACAGAAGAGGATGGTTATTGACACAGAGCATAGATTAATGAAGCTGTGAGGTATTTCRTAACAATAGCCCTCCTTATATGATAAAGTATGTTGGTATCAGACAATTTCCAAAAGGTGGCCAAGCAATTAGCCTGTTCCTTTTGCCTCAGCTTCAGGGCCCTGCTGCTTCTCAGGCTGAGTAGTGGTTCTCAGAAATTATTCTCAACCCTTCAGCTAAATACTCTTTAGCAGATTTGCATATCCTTCCGTAAAAATGATGACTTTGCCCTTGTTTGACACTTCAGTAATTTTTTTAGTCTTTTCATTTGAAGAGGAACTACTTAATGGGGGAAACAAGGAAGAAGAGGACATTCTGTGTCAAAAAGCGAGTGACTGGACCTGCTGTTGGTCTCATCATGTTTGTTACTTTTTCGGATGGCTGGGTAGAGAATCAATTGCTCAAAACACCCTTTGTGCTTGGTTCCACATCATCACCTCAGCCTTTTGCTGGCCATCTTAGTGTTTTAGCCTGARGCGTGCTACAGAAAACAAGCTCTTTTCCACTGCAAGGGTCAGTGTGCTGTGTCACTGTTCAGCTGCCAGGCAGGCCCAGCTTTCCTTTTCCTAGATTGTCTCTTCCCTCTCCAGCACTGGTTGTTATCCTGTGCTCCTCGTTGGAGGAGCTGCGTAAACACAGAATGCACTGTTTGTTCCAAAAATGCATAATCTAATTGCGGGAAAGGTACTGCTAATGAATGCAAAGAAAGAGACGAAGAAATGATGAGACAACAGAAGATTTTTTTGCAAGACTAGACTCTTAATTTTTCCTGGGATTCTTGTAAGGATGAAAAAAAGGCTGTAAGTTGTTTATACCCTTCAAAAATACGAAATTGCAAGACCTCTGACTTGTGCTAGTTTTTCTGTTCCAGTCACAGCTAGCACAGTTTTGATAAACACAACTCATCCACCAAACTATGGGTCAAACTCTAAGCCAAAAGGTGGTGGTTTTTTTTTAAAAAAACATTCAATCTTTTTGGTGATCTTTAATTTATAAGACCCTTCTCCGCATTAGAAGACAAGGTGCTTAGGGAAAACTGCTTTCTTTTTAAGGAGGTTGCTACTGCTTAAACTAGAAAAGAAGGAAAGAGAAGATATAAAGACTTGGAGGAAACAAGAGGAGAATGCTAAGTGGAGAAATGGGAACCTGTATCAGCAGGCACAGGGCTGTCATGTGCTATTAGATGGCAAAAGCTCCCTGTAACCAGCAGCAGAAACTTTATTTCAACTTTGTCCCAGTACTTGAGGCTGTAACAGCTGTATCCAATAGTGAAGGATTCCTTGCAATGGGCTAGCTTTTGAATCACCTGATTAAATTGCAAGATCAACAACTGTAAGGTGTTGAGTTTGCCTAGAGGATTCTGGGAAGCCAAAGGAGGATCATTGAAGGGCTGGGYACAATGCTTGTTTGGCCAGAATTCCCAGCACAAGCCGTGTCCCAAAGCCTGGGCTGTGGGTGGGGTCATTGTGTGTACAGGCAGCTGAGAGCAGGGAGGAGATGCAAAGCCCCATGAGGGCCAGAGGCAACTTTGCTCCCCACTTTGCAGATGTCCTGTCTTGTACCCATTTCAGGTGGTTGGGGTGGGTGGTTTGTGTTGGTTTTGGTTTGGTTTTTTTTGAGACACAGAAAGCTGTTGGCTTAATTGCATCACCTTTCTGRATGGCTGCCTCAGTTCCATGAGACTACCTCTGAGGGACACAGTGGAAGCCATAAAAAGATGCAAAATTTAAGTTCAGTATTTTACGGGACTAGTCAAGAGCATTGTGTATCCCAGTGTGAAGCTGGGAACTTCTTCCTTTTCAGGAATATAAATCATTCACCTTGCTTGTTTGCTTAATGCTCTGCATTAAAACTGGCAGTTTCCCAGGACTTGATCTGAGGTCATTTGTGTGGAAGAGACTACAGAGGAATCTCTGTGCCATTTTTCTTTCTTTACAATTGTTTTAAAGTCGTAGATTTTAAATAATAGAGTACTGAAAGAAAAGGTTATGTAGCAGGCCAAAAGTTCATGACAAATTGCAGGATGGGTTATTTATTTGTCTCCTGGCTCTGTTAAAAGTCCTGTGTGTACAGCATCAAGCACATACCCTTAGCATGTCTACAAAGCGCTTTTGAAGTCACAGATGTTGGGTAACTTTTATTGCTTGGCAATCCACAATGCTGTACAAAAGGAAAGTCTCCTTCCCTCTGCCAGCACTGTGACYGCATMGGTCTGTAGCTCTCCAGGTGTGTTGGTTCTCATGTTCCCTCTTTCCTTTCTGCTCCAGTTGTCACTACAAATCGCTCTGCCGTGTGAAAGCGAACAACACTATGAGTACTCTGGACGGTGCTGCAGGAAGTGTGAGCCAGGTATGTGAGCACTGGTTGGGCTGTGAGGCTGAGGAGCTCATAAGGAGCTGCTCTGTGGGTCATTGGTAGGCAGCCGGCTCTCGTGACTGCTGATGTATYGGCACGTGCCCTGCAGGTGCCTGATCTCAGGCTTACGAGTGCCTTCTATTGCAGGAGTGGTTCTGGTGGCCTCAGCAAAGGTAACAGTGGCTGTTTTGTTGGGATAGCACTTAASCACTGTGCAAGACAAAAAGCAGCTCAATTCTTGTGCTCCCAGGCCATCCACTTCACAGATGTTTCACTAAATGGGGGCCACACTAAATGGGGGCCAGATTGACAAACTGAAAAGTGCAGGAAGAAATGATTAGCAGTGTTAGCACCCAGCCTGTTATTTTTTCTCTAACCTCCTTAGACAGCTGCTCTGCAGCTTCCAGATGACCCACTTGTCCTTTTCTCCATTGCAGGGACATATTTGTCTGCTAGATGCACAGATACTTCAGACAGCGTGTGCCAGCCATGTGGCCCAAATGAGTATATGGATATCTGGAATGAAGAAGATAAATGCTTACTACATAAAATATGTGATCAAGGTGAGCTGTTCATACTGCAGAACATTTTATTCCAAATTCATGAAGCATGAAGATGGGAAAATGATCTAGGGAAGTTGTTTTGTTTAGGTACCCAACACTGGGGGCTGAGCTTGCAGAAGAACTTGACAGAGAGGGAGGTCCCCAGACAGCAGAGATCCTGTGCKGTGCAGAGCACCATGACCGCGCAGTCTCTCTGCTGCTGATAGTGATTATCTTCACTGGGGCCATTCACCCCTGTGAGCTGATTGTAGAAGTTGTCCTTTCAGCCCAGCACACTCTGCATTCACTTCCCCTAATGTGTTTGTGTCACCCTTGCAAATGCTCTGTTTATTTTCTGCAAAAGCCGTAAGGAAATGTATTGTTCRGGAGTGCAATTGGTGAGGAGCCCCGTGCTGATCAAGGGTCTCCCGTGCTTCCTGAAAGRCACCATTTCCTCTGACATGAATGGTTTTGCATCTGCCATTCAAGCAAAGCAAGTATGTAGAACAGGAGRTTCAAAAACTTGAGGCTTATTATCAGAGAGATTTTTTACTCTCATCTGCTCTCTCTTCTAGGGAAAGCCTTGAGAGAAGTGAACCCAGGGAACAGCACATTCCAACGGCAGTGTGCTTGTACCATGGGCTACCACTGGAATGAGGACTGCGACTGCTGTCAGCGAAATACCATGTGTGCTCCTGGACTCGGAGTCAAGCATCCTGGTAAGATGCAGAAAGGGAACATACAGAGTGAAATGTCCAGCTCAGGCCAGCTGGATGAGGCCAACATTGTGTGGACTGTGACATTAGGGAGGSTACTGTCAACTCTCAGATGACTGTCAACAGAAGATGCATGTCTGAATTGTCATTAGTRCTGCTTGTAATCCTCCTGGACTATTTACATTTTGGAGGCTTCTACCTCTGTAGTTTAAATGGTATCTTGGATCAAGTGACTTCTGCAAGGTATCATGTGGATGTGGCAGTAGTTGCAAGGTGTCCAGTACATTTCTAATGTTTGCTGAGGTGTCTGACTGTGAGTCACTGGGTCATGCATTGCTCCAGTATTCAGCTAAGCATTCTTCTTTTGAGGGTTGTTTCTGAGGTCAGATTTGCAATCTGTTTTTGTGCAATGACTTTGCCTTGTCATTTTGTACTGTTATAAGCAAGTTAAAAGTGGTTAACACCTTTCAGGTAGCTCATGTATTCTGTTTTAGGAAGCATTCTGTTTTAGATGGCTAGTAAYGCAAAGATTTTTTAGAGACATTTTATTTACTCTTAAGTCTAATTAAAACAAGATGCAGGTGTTTTGTGGGTGGAAAATAGGCATTCAAGTTCAGAATTGTAGTGGGCACTGGGAACAGCTGCACCAAACATAAGGAACCCCAAAAAAGCAGCACAATAGAGTAATTGAGGAAGAAATGCTGCATGGGCCTGGAGGACAGTTGCTGTTTTTTCTCCAGCCTAGCAAATCCTGATGCAGCATTTTGTTTATTGTGGCTTCATAGAAGTGACRATACCAATGAGTGTCACTGTCTGTGGCACAGCATCATTGTGAGGGAATTAGTAGAAGGGGAAGGATGTAACAGCTGTGAGTTATTTTACAATAACCACAAATGGCTCCTGGTCWTTTCTCACTTTGATCATGTAGAGAAGTGCCCAGATGAGGCTTTCCAGGGCTTACATGTGGCTKTCATTGCTGCCCTAATGTAACCTAAGACCCACTGTTCAGGAAAGCTTTTAGGGGGACTGCGGGGGAAGAGTGGAGCAGGAGGATGGGGAGCAATCGTCACCTTTCGCTGGCTTGAAAGGAACCCACAGAAACTCAGCCATTACTTTTTCTTCCTTTGCTACACACAGTGCAACAAGACAAGGACACGATGTGTATACCATGTCCCAGAGGCTACTTCTCAAAGGTCTCTTCATCCACTGATGAGTGTAAATCCTGGACCAAGTAAGTCCCTGGATCTTGTAAAAGGACCACACCAGCCAGAAGGTTCTGCAAAAGCATTTCTCAGTGGGGTTCTGGGCTGCCTGCAGAGCACATGGAGCATCTCCATTGGCTATGCAAGGATGCAGGAATTCTCAGGCTGAATGTTGGATTCTTCTTAGATGAGAACAAGAGACAGCAGTGACAACAGAACTGCTGAGCTAAAAGTAAAGAAAGTATCTGAGGTTCTTAGGGGTGGAGAAATGTGTGTTACAACAGAAATACTGCTCTGCATAAGTGTAGGAGGCCACAAGCGGCTTTKTTTAGGGAACCTAGCCTCTTTGTCTTTCTTTTTTAGCTGTACAGCTCTAGGAATGGAAGAAATCGTGGCTGGGACTGACAARTCTGATGCAGTTTGTAGAGAACGGAAGATGCCTGAGCCATCAGAAGATGGTTTGTATCCTTGTATAGATTGTCTGTTCGAAAGTAGCAGAGAAGTGATGTTATTACTAGAGGTTTTGGCTGACTTACTCATTCCTATTGTGGGTGACTCTAGGGAGAGCAGCTGTATACCAAGACAGTGCTCTTGGAAAAGCCCATCTTTAAAATTATTTCAGGCCTGGCATTTCAAGGCCCTGTGTCCATTACTAAGTTGAGTTTTATGCCTCCCACTAAAATTGCATGGCAGCATTGCTGTTATTGTCATGACTCCATCACATTTACAGCTTGTTCATTTTGATGAGCAGTATAAAGACTAGCAGCTCCTGTCCTTGCTTATTTTAGAGCAATGGATACAGTCTCAGCCTAATCCCACTCAGATGTCCCTTCTTGACCACTGTCCATTTCCTTCTCCARTGTGGATACCATGCTTTCCTGGCAAGCAGTGATCCATCATAAGCTAAGATAAAGGACAAATTTTTCCAGCATCTGTAGTCTCCCTGAGATGTATGTCCTCTGTCCCCTGAATGAGATCAAGCTCAGCCCATGGCCTGCTAGAAGCTTGCAAGGGAACACTGAGAAAAGCCGGACCAGACAACATTGTTCTGTGACACCAAGATTCTGGCTTTTATGGAGATGTCTTGGTACCAGGTGCCTTCAGGGAGGCTTCTTGTAACAGAACTCCATGAGTACTAGAGCTATAGAGTTACTATAGCTATAGCTGTAGAGTTATTATAGAAGCTAAAGATCCAGTAGGAAGGAAAAACATCCCTCTCCTGAAGAAAAGCAACTAAAATGTGCAAGGATTGTCACACTGCTGAGTGAAGGCTGCATATTGATGTCACTATCTTTTTACACCCTGCAGGCACCAACAAGATCYTATATGTATTGATTGTCATCTTGTTTTTTGTGACACTAATTGGCATTGTCGTCTTCATCGTATACTACAAGAATAAGGGGAAAAAGTTGACAGGTACGTGATAGSTAATGGCATTCATGAGTGTGACAGCTGTGGCTCTCTGTGCACTCTGATTTTATGGGTAAGCCCCAGGTTAAGAAGCTCAGGAGTTACACTGGAAGTTCTGTGCTATCCCTACATCTGTCCATGTGGATGTTCTTTACSTAGCACAAAGCCAGGCTTCAGATTCCTTTCCTCTAGGCAGGCAGTGATTTACAGTGTGTTACACTTAGCCCATGGAGTGACCATCCTCAGGGCAGACATGACCGTGGTTGGAAGGAGGAGGGCTCRTGCTGGGAGCTTTCGTAGCAGCCTGGCTGCTCTGCAGCACCCAGCACATCTGAGAAGAGAAGCAGGGACAGATATAAGTCCTATCTTAGATCATCTTCACCTCACTTTCCCTCCTACCCAAAAACCTACATCTGGACAGGTTAAAATATGGATTTCAAGACAAAGGCCTTATGTGTATTTGAGAGCAAGAACAAGGCAATGTTTTTAGCTGGAGGCTGAAGTCCTGATAAGGTRTGAAAGAAATACTAGAAGGAAGCAGAATGAACAGTTGAAGTAGAAAAATAGAAAAATTCTAGCAAAGGCATACTGGAGAACAGTGGGATATTGAGTTTCTTATGAATAGAATGGAAGTACCTTCATATTCCTCAACTCTGTTAAGCTCTGGGTCTCTTTAGTGAAAGACATACCTCTATTTTTCTGTTCATTTTTAGGCTTTTTCCCCTAAACATGGGAAGTTTCTTCCACCATTCCCATTCTCAAATGCTAGCAATTTATGAGAAGTTTTGGGACCAGTGGAAAGGAAGACAGAATTCACTTCTTGTAAAGTATATTTCAGCCTGTGTTTTAGAAATAGGCTGCTCTGCCACACTAAACATGGGTTGTGCTAAATCTGGAATTTCTGGGATGGGCCGGAGGAAATGGTGACTCTGCTCGCAAACCAAATACTTGTGATGCAGAGCAGGTTAGGGGGGARTGCAATTTCTCTGATGTTTGTGTTGCCCTGCTGCTCTGCAGTGACAGTCCCCCACTGCCTTTGCATGGTGAATCCTGCTCACCAATCCTGGGAGAATTGCAGGCTCAGGAAGAAGCCCTTCCTTCTTGTATCCTTGGTGTGGGTGCTGTTGGTAAATGTACAGATTCAACATCAGAGCAGCAGAGTCATTGCTGGGAACTGACAGTGGCTGCACAGCTGATCTATCTTGAGCCATGCAAAACCATCGTAAGCTTCAAATGTACATGGGACTTGAGCTCTGCAAAGTCTCCTGAACGTATATTCAGAAAATGAGAATTGCTCACTGTGCCAGTTGTTGCCCTAAAGCATATTGGACTTAAAGCTTTTCCTTGGGAAATACTCCAAAGAAATTGGAATGAATTTCCCCATTAAGCATACTCTGATTAAGTTGAATATGCTGTATTTGAGCCTGCCATCCTGTGGTTTCAGTGGCTTACCCTCTTCTCTCCAGGCTTCTCACTCCTGTCTGGGAAGGGCCTTTGGGCCATCCATGTGACTTCTCTTGAAATAGACCATTTCTGCTGCGAGCAGGTCGTTGTTGGGCCAGTCATAGCTTGGTGTGACATATGACCAGGAAAGAAACCCCATTTGATGTGGAACACAGTTTAACCATGGTCTATTTTAGGAGCTTGGAAACATTTGCTCCACAGAAATTCATCCCTGTTCCAGTTACAATGAATCCTCAGCTAGACCAACGTTGGGATACTTGAACAGGCAGTAAAAACAGGCTTGCTGGTTTTATTTAATATGGTATTGCGGATTGTGAATGACTGTGGGTGTTTAGGTCTGTGGTTAACTTAAGTGCCTGCTATATGTTACAGCTACTCTTTTGTTTTCCCTACAGCAGATCTACAGAACTGGGCTAATGAAGTGTGCAGCCAAATAAAAGGAACTAAGGTAGAGTCAAAGACGGTAACATTTTCTCTTTGAGTTTTCCTCATGGCATTCCTGACACCCCTTCTGAAGCAGACTCCACAGTAATCTTTGGCTAGAAAACGAATTTTGAGTTCCTCAAAAAATGCTCACAGCTTTGGCTTTTCCAGTCTGGTTTTCTGTGAGCCACATGCAATCACCATTCACAAATAGCTTCTGAACCAGCTCTCTGATTTCAGCCAGTTTTAACAGAGATAAAGGTCTTGTGAYTATTTAAAATTTATTATGAGAAAGTTAAACACAAACTCACTGGTGGCTGAACACCTGAGTCTGCCTAGGAGAGAGACTCTAAATCCTAGCAACAGGAAAAGCTTCAGCTGWGTTTGCCCCTTGTTACATACCAGAGTGCTCACAGGGAAGAAACCTGGATTTGGGTCTATGCCAAAAATGCCAGGCATGCAAGTCATTAAACACAGAGCCATCATCTAAGGAAACTGGCTGTTCGACTCCTTAGTTCTAGGGAGGAAGAAGTCCTGCTTGTCCATTCAGATGTGAAAAAAGTAAGAGCTTTTGCTCTTACAATACCAGCCCCATGCCTGAAACAGCATGGTGGCACTGGTTCAARTTCTTGTGCTGCTCAACACCATGGATGGGGACTGAGGTGTCCCAGMTGTCCCACCATCCCTTCTAGAAGCTGCAGTGAGCTTAGCTGTTGAAAGGTCAAATTCCATTGCTTAAAAGAAAAACCAAACGTACCAAAAAAACCCACCTTTCTGAGCCGGCAGTTCTTCTTTTTTCTCATAAGTCTTCATGCAACCTCCTGTCTTGACAGCTGTTCAGCTCCTCTGGGACAGAGTAGCAAATCAACTGCAATTAGTGGCTGGCAACACTTTTCTATCCTGGAAGATCTGAACAGACACTAGAAATTAAAAGTATCAGTTCCCAAATACCCATCTTTAAAGCACAACTTGTACAAACTGAAAAAAAACCCTGAAGTACTTCCCAACTCTTTTTTTGGAGCTGCTAACGAAAATATAACTTTACTCTGTCAARTACTGTGACAACATGATGTTATGGGCCTTTGCATTTGTTGTCCTAACTTTTCAGGTTAATACAACCTTCCTTGTGTTTTTTCCTAGTGTGTCTCAGAACTTCTKAATCAACCCAAGTTCTTTCTTCAATCCTTGGTGATATTAAAAATTCAGCCCCCTGAAAGGCCTTCACAGGTCAACAGTCATTCAGACATGGGGGGGGGTTTCCAAACCCTTATAAGCAGTTAGGTGGGTCTTACCAATGGTCCATAAGGAGCAGCAGAATCCAGCAGCTCTTCTAGTTTTATTAACTCTTCTTAAGYGCCCTCAAAAAAACTAGGAATAGTTGTCTCACAAGATTGAATGTTAATGCTCCCCGGATCACCAGATTTTGTTCTGAACACCTGCTGAGTCCAGCATTACCAGTCACAGTTCCACAGCAGAATAGTTACACTTCAGGACTSAAGTACAGCAGTATTCAGTCATGGAAGAGCCATGATTTGCCTTTTYCTTCTTTGTCTAGAAAATAACTTTATGCCAATCTCTGTATTAAAGGCATTTTTACTTTTAATTTCTTTCAGGAACCCCCCAGAGATGCATTTGTTAGTGTGAACATCATGAGTGCTGCTGTCCCCCAGACCTCTGAAGACGCAGGTCTCCTGGGCCCCTCTGGTGCTCCTGTCCCTGTAAACTCATGCTGCACCACTGGTCACACTCCTTGCAGGACTGGGAGCCCCAGCACTGAGCCCTGTGAGTCAGGAGACTTTCCTGTGGTAACCAAGACTGATGATTACCAGTTCCCACCTGTTCCCACAGAAGATGAATACATGGATAAGGATCTCAATAACACTGATTATTTACCATTACTAAGTCGGGCTGCCAGTAAAACCGTGTCATCATTTTACGAACCGATTGAGGCCGGGGAGAAYGACAGCTTGAACCAGTACTTTTCAGGTATTGAGAGCACAGAGGACGTGTCAGTCTCTCAAGGCTTTCACCCTCCCTCCAGCACAGATGGGGCACACATTGCCATGGACCAGCTTCTGCAGAAATCTTGCCAACATGCCAACAATTGCCTGAAGGAAACAGGCAACAAAGACACAGATCATTTTGCAACAAACTGTGACTCAGAGAAGATCTGTGTGAGGTGTGGCATTTTGTACAGAGAATCTCCCCAAAAGTGTAGCAAACCCTATTGTGCTGCAGCTGACAGCACCTTCACCTCCCCAGAAACTGGTTCCTGTGCACAGTGCAACTGTGGTTTGAATTTTCTCTCTGCTGGTCAGAGCACTCTAGCAAATGATCTTGGTATGGAAGATGCGTCTTCAGATAGTACCAATATGAAGTACCAGAACACAAACAGAAGCACTTCAGGGACACAGAGAAGCMCTTCAGGGACAAACAGCAGCACTTCAGACCTCCCTCCAGCATCTGGTAAGCCCCCTAGGCTTCACCTATACACAGTTGTATGGGATTATTCTCTTTGCTAGCTCAGTAGTATTCAGAGGATCTGATACAGGAGGAAAAGAAAATTATCCTTTTCACTTAATTGCCTTAGAGCTAGTCTGAAAAAAAAATATCTGAAATAGTAAGGCCATCTGGTTTGTATTGAATTSTGCCAGAATGAGGCCAGCAACAGACCATTGTCCCACCCTGATCTAACCAGAAYGCACCTGGTTGTCACTGCAGAGGCCAGGGAGTTGTGTTTGCGAGTGCTCGTATTGGAGAAAACTTAGAAGGAAGACAATACCTAGAGGCTGAGTCTAGGAAGGGTGCACAATGCTCAGACAGATACTTTCCATTCACCAGCATACACACACATTTTTGCCATTAGGTTTAAGTCCAGTTACATTTGTACAGTGKTTGGTGAAACTCCAGCTGGAGCTGTAAACTGGCAGCCATGACTAGACCTAAGAGATTACCTATAATTTTCTACTTTTAGCTCTTTGTTTTTATTTGCTAGGATATAAGCATTCACATAAAATAATTTCATACAGGTACTGTTTCTCCATACACATGGGCTTTGTCCCCTAAACAACTCTGCAACACTGATGCMAATTTACTAATTGTTTACCAATTTATTAATTGAGTAAATACATCAAAATTGTCAAATTAAAACAGGGAAAAAAATCACTGAAGCAAAAGCAGCAAAAAGGAAGTTATGAACCTTCTTGCGATGAAATCTTCCTTTCCCTGATTTATTTTCAGTATAAAAGTCTGCAATCTGCCTGTCGTATATTATTAGTCATTTTGGATTATAATCTCACAAAGTTGGGTGCTCTATTTTTATTTATGTCAATGCACTGCCAAGCATAATGAGACCTTAGTGTTGAGTGGGACATCCAAGTATGACTGTAATACCCACAGCAGTTGTAAGCTGTTGCCYTTCTTAAAAACCATGTTGTGCCTTAAAATTTCTTACAGACACATTCTTGTCGGTCTGCCAAAGCCCAAAAACAACACACTTGAAGGCCCTTACTCTTTCAACATGCATTCCATATGGGAATCTGAAAGTGTGTAACATTCATCTTCTTAAGAACAGAAACTTTCTGYTGCTTCAGTTTCCTGAAATCCTGACGCAGTTTCACTGTCTGGTCTRTACAAAATGCAGCAGGACTAAACAGAGCACAGATTATCTTTTTTGTTATTGTTGGAAGGTGACTCTTGAGGTATAACTAGAAGTCAAGTTATATTTGGTGCTGTTTGGCACTGCTTTTCTTTCTGAATAGGACACCAAGAGAAATAAAATATTAATGAACARTAGAGCAAACGGGAGAGCTTGGATATAAGCACAGTGCTAGCAAGTGCCATTTTAGGTCTGCAGCATAATTCTTTATATGGGATTTTAATTGTGTCTGTGCCTATGCACATGCTCTAGTGCCATCTGGTGAAACCTGAGCACAAGTACTGTGTTCCTAATCTGCCAGTTTTTACACATGACTGCGGGAAGATACTGACAGAGCTGTGGGCAGTATCAGAACGTGGGGTAGTTGGTCTGTGGRTAACCTGTCTTGCTGGCAGAGTAATTGTTCTACCCACAGAATGTCCATGCCCCCCTGGCAGTGCCTGTGTGCATGAGGATTGGGACAGGGCTTAGSCATAGGTTCCACACTGAAGCACCCCAGCCACGTGTGGGTGCATCAACATCTGTCATTTTTCTAGGCCTTGTGAAATGCCCAGATGGAATAAATGTGCATGTAAAATAACTTTCTGTAAAGCTTCTCAAAGCAACTAAACTACCAGGCTTTGCACATAGYTATGCTAAAACAGAATGGTACAAAAGAAGGTCAATGAAAAATGGGAAGAAAAAGACTGTGGTAAAAAAAATTTCATGAAGTTTTGATCTTAGTTCACTAWCACTCAAAACAACAACAGAACTCTGTAAACTTTGTCCCTCCTGTGAAACAAACCWAGAGGACAAAAGTGAACCTCTGGACAGGTGCCCCTTCCAGGGGTCACCACTGGAGATGGAGGTAAGCCTTCAAGCACCTTTTCAAACTCCATAAGCCATGAAAGGTCAATTCAGGCCCACCTCAAGTCCTATGCAGGGCTACTCCATAAGGCATGAATGCAGGAAGACTTAGCTGACTCATAACAGGGACTGGTTTTGCAGAGTCTTTCACTTCCAGATCCCAAACCAGCCTGGTTTGGCAGTGACAAACAGTTTTTACCACCTAGAGGCCATTAAATGTCCCAGAGAAAATTATTTGCCTGCGTTGTCCCACTTCTTAGTGAGCAACTACCAGAAAAAATGATCTGTCTTTGTAATTATTATCAGATAGTCTGAAGAGATCAAAAGACTGAAAYGCTGCAGAGAACAGTGCCTTCACTCTGAAGGTGTCCCTTATAATTTTCAGATTGGAAGCACTTTTCTTGGCACACTCTAGGAAGCTCTTGTGTCCATTTTCTGCACTTTTGGGCCTCAAACATCCTTTTGTTTCAGTATGGTATCTTCAGAAAGCACTGGAGGTTTGCCAGCCACATTCAACTCAACACTATAAATTTGTGAATTGGACTTTTTTTTTTCCTCCCCACTGTCACATATTTCTAAATTTTTGATCTCACACTGAGCACTGGTAACCTTCTTCGCAGCACCTTTTGCAAGAGACAGGCAATCTGTTTAAAGAMACAGTTATTTTTGTACTGCCATTATGCCCAAGAGTTTTGTTCATGGCAAACAGCCAAACTGAATCAAACACAGGGGAAAGAACCGGCAGGGAAAAACTCCTACAGAGAAAGCCCTTATGGACACCTCCTGTTAATCAACAGCACTTGGAAAGAAAGCAAAGAGCTAGCAATGCAGTGATTTGGGTGAAGTAATAAGACTGCCTAAGGGGGGCCTATTAGAGAGGCGCTCGAGTGCTGCCCAGACTCAGCTCTGAGCAGGCACCGATCCTGACTCTGCACAGCTGGAGACCAGCACTGGATTGCAAACATCACCTGTGGCTGCCAGAAAAACAGCATTTCTCTGGGCTGGGCCATGCTTACCTGCAAGGAAAATTGGAATGTCTCAGGTGTTGAGGAATGTAATGAAGAAGGGTGCAAAATGTCTAAAAGGTGTCAGATCAGTCTCCAAGCAATGATGAAGTGAAGCACAGCAGGGAGAACATTTCTTAGTGTGTTCACAGGCTAGGAAAGTTTTGTTTACTTGGTTTCTTCAGTTTGTTTCGTTTTCAAACTTGAACAAGCTTGTTAGTTTGATGTTGGGAGTTTGTTCTGTTATTTTCTTTCTGCTCTGAGGGAAGTTTATTAATTCCCAGAGCCTAKCCCTGCTGTCAGTTAGGTCAGCAGCCCAGTCCTGGAATAGCAGACAGATTGAATTTATACTGAAAAATCTCTAACCTCAGACAGACTGACTGAAACCATAACTCTGTTAAGCTGTTATAATATAAACTCTTGTCTCTTCACYGGAGCCAATCTATATCCAGGAAAAGCCATGAGGGGGCTGGGTGAGTCCCRGAGTATACCTATATGGAGGATCCAGACTATATAAGATAATTGTATAAGCTCTGTGTCATTTGGACACTGTGTAACTGTGTGATCAGATGTTAAGTTTTTCAGTATTTATTCAGTAAGCCTGCTATCTAGCCCAAATGGTAGGATTGATTGGGGTTTTATTGCCTCTTTGGTAAGCAGTGTGATTTCTGGGATTCTAAGGAAAAACAGGTCTCATCATCAGAAATAATTAGCATTTCCTCACTAACTGCAGGCAGAGGCAGATTGGACACTGCTTTGTGCATGAGGCAGCACAAGGAACATGAGCTCATCGCCCTCTCTCTGGCTTCCCAGGTCACAGCTCAGAGGGAAATGTTTCCAACCSTCCCAGACAGGCTCCCTGTGTATGACAGATTTTGTCCTGAGGAGACAAAAATGGAAATAATGAAAAGATCCAGTGGAAGGCATTGATTATAAGAGCATCCTCATGTCACGGGGGAAAAATAATGGAACAAGAATGAAGCCACCACAGCAGATTAAGTTCACTGCAGTAAGTGTCTACCTTGTGAGGGGAAAATATTAATCATGTGTGTCTTCTTTTCTCCCCACTCCTTCCCTAGGAAATGTGACTGGAAACAGTAACTCCACCTTTATTTCAAGTGGACAAGTAATGAATTTCAAGGGCGACATCATTGTTGTCTACCTTAGCCAAAACTCTCAGGAGGGGGCAACGACCTCGGGGCCGAGCGAGGAGAACGTGGGCAGCCCCGTGCAGGAGGAGAACCTCAGCCGCTGCGAGACTTTTGCCGGCAATGCCCAGCACTACAAGGAGAAGTGTGCGGAGCTGCAGGGCACCCGTCCTGCCCCAGGGAGCGGGGGACCACGGTGGCCTGGTGGAGCCCTGGCCCAGGAGCGGGGCTCATCCTGCGGTGAACAAGCCTCCCAGCCCGTGCAGGAGGAGGGGAAACTGGGACACTTCTCGGAGAAGGTGTTGAACTGAGGGGACATAGTGTCCTCGCTGCGGGCCAGGGTGGCGGCAGGCAGCCACTGACGGYGTGAGGGGCTGCTGCCATGCTGCCAAAATCCCGGGTGTCACGACAGACTGGGAGACTGTTGCTGCCCCTGGTGTCTCCTGGGGAATTTTACAGCTGGAAGGACCCTCATGGCACACAYGTCGGTGGTGGCGGTGGTGCTCTAAATAGAGGTGGCCAATGGGGATGGGCACACAAGTGAAGCCAGGCATGCTGCCCTTGTTGCCAAAGCAGCAGCAGGGCTTTCTCCTCTCCCCCACAGGGCAATGGGTTCTCTACCTGCCCCCCATGCCCTGGCACCTCTCCCCAGCAAGTGGCAAAAGGGAGCTGAGATCCATCGGCCTGGGGACTCTGTGAGGAGGAGAGCATTGCTGACTGGATGTGCAGGATGCTCCCAAAGAGGGGACAACATGGCCAAGGCTTGGACTGATAGGGGATCCTGAGCTCTGCCTCAGGGTTTCCTTTTTGCACCTAAGCTCTACCCATTTTGCTGGGTCTTGGAGGTGGAAGGAAGGCATGGTGCTGCTGCCAGCCTTTCCCTGTGGTGGTCTGGCAGGTGACATCATCCTTTCCCATCTTTCCCCAAGGAAGCAGGCACTCCAGTCTCAAACCAGCACCAGAGCCAAAGTCCTGGTCTGCCCCTTATTGACTTGTGGGTATAAATAGGTGTGTGTAATTCTGCCACAAGCGGATGATAACAGGCGAAATACAGCTGATACGCCTTAAAAGCATATCAGATTAATCTCGAGCAAAGAGCATTTACAGTGACCCTGATTCACCTCTGCCTTATTGCCCTTCTCCAGAGGAGTTCAGACCTCTGGAATTGAGTGATGTGTGCCTGGTACACTGCTACAAGAATAGCATCACTATAACTATAGTTTGAGACAAAGAGCTGCTAGCAGGTGGAGGAAGGGTCTGTGACAACCAGCTRTGGATATTTCCTGAGTTACAGAAGAGGGAGAGATTACCCAAAGATGGAGAATTTGGTCAAGGTCAAACACTCGTTCTTTTACCTGCCCAAACAATTTTGTCATTCCCTCTGCTATTTTTATTAATAAGCAGAGATTTACTTACATAGCATGAAGCTGTTTCCAGAACTTGGCCTGTCTGAGCTGGAGTCAGAGTGTAGGCTCTGTCASACTGAGAGCTGATGAGCAATGGGACCAAAGATTTGGCATTACAAAACAGTAGTAGTTGTATTTAGAAGGGAATCTCGGGTAATCAGTTTGCTTTGGTTCATGTCTGATATCCTGCAGCCTTCTTCAGCAGCCACTGTGGAGAGAAAGTTGAAGGGAATAGAGTCTCAAGGAACTCCCAAGAGAAAAAGATAACATTTTTTATMATTTCCTGACAAGGGATAATTTTCTGACATTCTCCTGCACGTGTCAGTGCTGCAGGAATGTATCTGCAGCCAGAGCCTTCAGGAGAACTTCCCTGATGGAAAAAGGCTCTGGTAGGGAGTGCTTCTCCCCAGGAAGGTTTAAAGCTGCGGGGTTCACTGCATAGCTGCTCTGGTTGCAGTAGTACTGCGCTCTGGGGAAGARCACCTGTAAAGCTGACAAGGTGATCATGATGTGTCATGATGAGCTTTTTATGCATAAAATAAAAGGATGGTCTTAGCCACCTTCACCTCTCAGGAGAATAATTCTGCATTGTTTATATTTACTGGAATGTAAAGTTCAGTGCAAAAGTGCAGGATTTGCTCTTTGGTGACTGGCAAAAAGGCCAAATGAAGAACCAGTCTCACTTTCTCCTCTCYGTGGCCTTCAAAAAACTAGATCACCCTAGCCTAGACTCGGCCAGGCAGGTRGATTGTCCCACTCAGTGACGGCCCAAGCTACCTTTGTCTCTCTGAAGGTGTGTAACAGAGGCTCTCTTACCTGTGGTATTCTTTTATCTTTCCTGCTGGATCTTGTACAACCTCTTTCTAGCCTCTTCTGGAGTAGTTCTGTATTTTCTAGGCACTGGTAGAATAGGGACAAGGAAGCAGAACCACCATCTCTTCCAGGCAAGGTGCTGCAGATACTGTTTCACTTCATCTTTATTTTTTCAATTGCATTTTCTGGAAAGCATTCTCCAAGACATCAGACCTGCTGGAAAATCATCCAACCAGCCCCTTCACAGGGCAGGCAGGACTGAATTCTTGTGCTCTTTTCTGGATAAATTACCTGTCTGMAGGTCTGTCTTCTCCTTCTGCAGCTTCTTTCTTCCCTTGGTTTATATCTACCACCAGAGAGCAGRCTCATAATCCTGGTTTGAAGGGAGATAATGGGACTTTACGTGTCCTCAATGAGGACACATTTTTCACTCGTTGAATTTCAGGTTCATGCTGAGCARGGATTGAAACTAGGATAATCAGCAAGCATGAAGAAAGGAGTCCCATAAGGGAAATGTGATGCACCATGATCCAGTTATTTTTCTTCCTCCAGAACCTACCCCAAAGTGAAAAAACAGTATCACAGCCATTAGCATACTGCACATTCCCTGGGTCTCTCTGCCTGACTGCTTAGACATGGATCCCAAAGGGAATTCTTAATCCTCATTATTTCATTTGTCATCAGTTTGGAGCTGGGGGTGGTTTTTAGCATCTGTTTGTACAACAGGGATCTGTGCATTGGGCACTAATTTGGAGGCTTCTGGCTGCTATTGTAATACACATAATTAATGATAATWAAAATCTGAAATATCTATTTGAGAAAAGGTGAAGGTTTTATTTGAATAAATAGGGAAATAAAATACATTATTATATGCCCGTGCCTGTTTAAAAAAAGAAAAACTAAAAAAGAGCAAAATGTGAATATAATCCTGGTTAGGCTTTTGTAACATTTTTTGTTGACTTGTTTTAACAAGAAATGGTTCCCTTCCACAGTGTGTGCTGCAATGCACACTCTGCACCTGCAGGGACCCAGGTAGGAGCTCTCACAAACCTCCTGTGAGGTGGTAATGCTTTAGTGCTAATAACTAGGCACTGATTCCAGCTCATTCCTGAAGTCTCCTCCTGCACAGCATGCATTTTTACAAGTCTTTTACTCTGAGGAGTCACATGCATTATCCGTGGTGAATATACTAGGTGGTCTTGAAAGCCAGCCACTTCAGACCTGGCAGGACAGGAGTAATTCTGCATATAGCCATGGGAAAACATGGGCACTGGAGCAGCCCTTCTTATCCCCATGGAACACCATATGTCATTAAAGATCAATATAGATAATAACTGCTGTTAATCTGTGTACTTTGCTACATGTTCATGCAGAGACTGGAAATTACTCTGCRGGCTTACAGCATACCTGGGAGCAGCGCCACTAAAATCTCATTTCTACTTGACCATTCAGGTTTCCTCCTTTTTATCATGTTGATAGTAYCTGAACAATTGCACCCCTGTGTCTGTCATTAAACAGAACCTGGCTGAAAGATGTCTGTGTTAATCAGGTATGTAATAGGGCTCTCATTTTATCATAAAGCTCCGTGCAAATTAGGCAGCAGTGCCCCCTTAAAAATAATCTACCATGACTGGAGAATTCACTTCTGCAGCACCTTGGCAGAGCCCAGGATGTACCCCTGGGTCCCATTGTTCTCACTTTGATAGTGTGGTTGCTTGGGTTTTTGTTCTGCCAGGAATTCAGGTTRGTTGTGGCCTCCAACAATTGTGTTGTCTCTGCAGCAAGGACTGCTCCTGTCTTGCCTTCAGGCCCTTCAGCTGACTTGTCACATTGTTCAACATCTRTTGTGTTGTAAAATGTGAACATTCATGAACATGAACTTCGGGGGAAAATGCTTTATTACAATTCTCTCTGGCTTTTGAACAAGKCAATGACAGCATAATATTAACGAACCCTGTTGCAGTAGGTGAGGAAGCCACAGTATCCAGTCAGATGTGTTTGCACGCTGCTTTTTTATTTCTTCTTCTTCTGGCTAGTTGGCTTATGGTTTCTTTGTTTTGGCTGAGGATTACCACAGCTCTTCTGGTTCATTTCATAGCCTGCCTGACCACTTGGTGGATCCTTGGACATCATTGCACTGGTTTTTACTTGCATCAAAGTTGACAGATCTGTTCCATCATGTTTCTATTGGCGGAATCACATTTCTGTACAATATATGCAGATGGCCATACATKAAAYTACTCCTGATTGCAGCTTYACAGAAAACTGTTAGAAAGGTTTCYRAGGAGAGCAAAGGAGCTCAGGAGTGTTTGGGACCACCTGTACAAGTGGGACATACACAAGTCAATGGGACTTGTCAGAATGCACCCAAGGCTGCTGGGAGGGCTTGCCAGCATCATTGCAGAGGCACACTGCAACATCTTTGACAGGTCATGGAGTTCAGGGGAAGTCCCAGCTGACTGGGAAAGGGCAAATATTACACCCATCTACAAAAAGAGGAAAAAAAAAAAGAGATTTGGGAAATTACAGATGAGTCAACCTCATTTGAGTACCTTGGAAATRATTACAGAGTGTGCCCAACTGGAAGCTGTTTTCAGGCATGAAGAAGAAGAAGGCAACTGGGAGAAGCCAACACATACCTCAGCTAACTCAGCCCTCTCTCACTGTCACCAGTTTGTTATTTGCCTCATCCCTAATTCCACAGAGACTTGGGAGAATKACTTTCCTCAGGAAGATCAAGGCAAAGGAGGCATAAAGGAAAATCTTCAGGTGGCTGGCTGGGATTTGTAGCTAACTGGCCAACCCCACTGAACAGTGGACCTAYTTTTTCCTTTTCCTGCTTGCTAACACACAATATGGGATGTTATTACTTTCTTGCTATTCTTGACAACTTTTGCCAGCTCAGGCTATGGCTGGTCTTTAACCTTTCCGTCTGCATCTCTGCATGCATGAGCAGTGTTTCTATATTCTGCTTTGGAAGCCTGTTCCCTTTTCCATCATTCTCATGTTCCTTTTTTTGCATCTAGGTTCTTTCAGTATCTCACAGTTTAACCAGGCTGGTTTCTTGCTGTGTCTGCTCCTTTTCTTGCTTAGGTGGATGGACTGCTCTTGTGCTCGGAGAATGCTTTCTCTGAAAGTCGCCCAACACTCCTAAACACCTTTGGCTTTCAGGGCAGATTTCTGGGATACCTCCTAACAGCTCCCTGAGCAAGATGAAATCTGCTCTTATGAAGCTCTGAGGCCTTATTCTGGTACTCACCTTCTTCACATTCCTTAGGATAATCTTATCAGCGCAGCCAAGGCTGCCACTGCCAGTCTTCAATCATTTGAAGATGATTTTGACTATTTCCATATSAGGTACTCCATAGCAGACACCTACTGCAAGCACTCCCTTGGTGGTAATTCCTGCAATTTTGAYCCAAAGGAACCCAGCTATCTGTCCTCTTACCCAGGTCTTCAAATCRCTCTTTTATGTAGAGTATAATCCCTCTTTGTCTTCCACCTTTTGTGTCTTCCCTTAACAGATTGGAAGCTGTTGCTTTTTTTTTTTTCTAATATAGCTATTTCCTCAGCTGGTTTCTGAAATGAAAAAAAACCCTAACATTTTGCCATTTTGCCTTTGTTGTGCCTTTACCTAGTTATAGGTCGATAAACTTTATCTCGTGCTTGGGGATGGGCCTCAAATTTCCCACCTGTAAGAGCAGAGGGTGAGAGGCAAGGGCTGGAGCTGATGCAAGGAACAGAGGCTGAAAGAGCTGTGCTCCCTCTTCCCACTGCCCCGTAGAGATGTGGGGAGAAGACAGCAACTTGCTGCTGCTGGAAGTGGCAGTGTGACCTGCAGTATCCTGGAGGTTTTGTCATTACTGGTGTCCAGTACCAGGTGTTATCCGATGAGACCTCAGTCTCCTCYCTCCTGCAGGAATAGAAGCAGCTGGCAGCTGATCCAGGCTTTCCATCAGATGAAATCATGCCTTTGTGTGTCTGTCTCAAAAAAAAATCAGTGAATACAAAATAAACTGAAATTGGCTGTAGGCAGCACATAAGGATGAACTATTTCAAATGTAAAAACCACTGCCTCCATATTCCTATTGACAGTCACTAGATTTTAAAGGAAGGCTATTTATATAACGTCTCAATTATTTGAAGCACCTTAAATGAGTATTTAGAAGGTGTTTTTTCAACRTGCAGGCCTGCCATTACAGTTCTCAGTTACATAGCCTTTATTGAGCAGTTTGCTTTTTTTATTCTCTGTTTTTTTGTCCCGTTCTAACATTCAGTTATCTCCCTTTTAGTGTTTAATAGGCACCACTAAAGCACAGTAGTTCATGCTCCCTGTGGAAAATAWAAAACAGTTTCCCCAAGGACATTTGCCTTTTGCATCATTTAAGTTCCTTGTTGGGTTTTTTTGCAAGCTTAACTGGTCATAAATGAGCTAGACAACAGATGGTAGAGCTCATGCTATAACACAGAAAATTTTTATTTAACAGGGGTTTCCACTTAAAAATGCAGCTGCCCACTGGTGCACAGCCAAATTTTCTTCTGAGGACAACCTTTGAATGTACTGGAGAATGAGATGGATGCAAGTAGCTCTAATGATTGTCTCAGCAGGCTGCTCATAAATGTTTCCTGCAACCCCTGTTCTTTTCATCCTCACCCCATGGATCCAACCTGTCTGCCGGATGGGCAACATTTCAGGGATATGTTAAAAACCTGTCCACTTCTTCATTGTCTTCACTCACACAGCTGGGTTTCACTCATTGCAAGGGTTTTGTCCCCTTTGTCTGAAGGGATGCTCCAAGTATGACAGAGGCATGAAAAATAAATCCACTTCAGTTCTTGGGTTTTCTCAGTCTGGCTGGCCTGCTATATTTAAATGTTGATACACTTTGAGTCTGTTCTCTTCAAAGTTATGTTCTTTGTCAGGTCCCATTTGTGTGCACTACACTACACTTTTATCTGCTCTGTAGTAAGTGCTGCAGCTGGTGCTTTGTTGATGAAAAGGTACTAGAAATCAGTTCAGTATTTTTTGTTCTTCCATAGGTGGTAYTGGAAAACACACTCAAGACTTCTGTCTCATTAATAATTTTTAAAAGTCTTGTAAGACTTGTTTCCTTTTGGATCTTCATGTTTTGGTTACTTTGACAGTAAATACTCTTCCATGCCAGCATTTTGTTCCCTCACAGGATAATTGTGTGTTGCTGAGGGGCAGGATTGCTCTAAATTAAAGATGGACTCTATTTCTAAATAAAATCTCTCACGTGGTTTCTTTACTGGATGAATGGGCACAAAAAGCTTTGCCCTGCTTTATTGTGACCAGAATTTGCCTGGTGCRAGGACGGCAGAGCTGCTGACATGATTCCCTTGGAGTTCATGCAGATACACTAAACAAACCCACTCACAGCCACAACTTCTTCAGCTTGCATGTGAATAACAGCAGCTGACCGTGTTTCAAAGAGCAAAGACATGCCTGGGTTTGGGTGGTWTATGGGTTTTTCCTTTTTTCCTTCYCTCGAGTTTTCTTTCCCTGTCCTAAGCTTATCATTCCTTTTTCGGTGTAAACGCAAAGGTCACGGTTTTCAGTACGGTGGGTGACTCATTCTCATGTTTGAGCAGTGTGATCAAAATGGAAACTCAGAAGTCCCGGTGCGGTGTGGTGTGTGTTCCATGCCGCCAGCGTGCACCAAGAATGCCTTGGTGGGTGCCGGCTCTCCTGAACACGGTGCACGCGAGAGCAGAGGAAATGCTTTGAACCTGCCAGCGCCGCGTAGAKAAATAAGCAGATGGCTTTTTGCTGTCGAGTGGTGCGTGTAGCACCTTCAGCAGCCCTGTGTGTGTAACCCAGCTCCCCGGCGCTCCGGGCAGCGCTGTGCTCTGTGCTCTGTGCCGGTGCCGCCTGTCCCGCGGGGCCGCGCGGGGGCGCTSCAGGGCAGCCGTGCCCTCACGGGCGGCGGGAGCGGGGCCCAGGGCGGGGGCGCTTCGCCGCCATCCCCTCTCTGCCGTGGCTGCTGCTTCCCCCGGGCTTCTCTCTGCTACGAGCGAGGAGGGCTCGCCTGCTGTCCGGCCAGCCAGCCAGCTGTCCCCGAGCGACAGCCCTCAGCTCCCGGCACGCCATCCCTGTTCCCGGTGCCCTCAGTCCTCGCCTCGCCTTGCCTCGCCCCCTTCGCCTGCGAGCTGTGTGAAACTGCAGAGCCACAGGGGTGCTGGAGAGCCAGCCTGAAAGGAGACACGGTGGGACATAAAATACCATATAACCTAAAATGCCCTTTAGGTTACACAACCAGGGAACAGCTTGGTTTGGAAGGGACCTTGCAGATCATCCAGTTTCAATGCCTCTGCCATGGACAGGGACACCTTCCATTAGACCAGGCTGCTCAGAGCCTCATCCAGCCTGGCCTGGAACATTCCCAGAGATGGGTCATCCACAGCTTCTCTGAGGAACCTGTTCCTGTATCTTACCACCCTCACAGTGAAGAATTTCTTCCTAATATCCTAATAGCCTAAACCTACTCTTGATTTGAACCTTGTCCTGTATCCTTTCTTGTAGGCTCCATTAGATACTGGAAGGCCTAACTGGGTCACGCCAAAGCCTTCTCTTCTCCAGGCTGAATAACCACAATTCTCTCAGCCTTTCCTTATAGGAAAGGTGCTCTAGGCCTCTGGTCATCTTGGTGGCYTTTTCTGGACTCAGTCCAACAGGTCAATGTCCTTTCCTCCTGCTGGGGACCCCAGAGATGGATGCCCCACTCCAGGAGAGGTCTCACCTGGATGGTGTGAGGAGACAGAATCACCTCCCTTGACCTGCTGGCCACACTGCTTTTGAAGATGGAAACAACTGCAGCATCCTGTGGCAACATAGTCCTTCCTATGTGTCACTTTTTCTATGGCTAAATCATTCTTCCCGCTGCCTAACTAGGTCACTGCTGCCACAGTTCAGGCCAGTATTCTTGGTTTTAGGCCACTATTTAGACAGAGAATAAATTATTTCTGTGCTCTTCAAAGACATATTTTAGCCTGTGTCACCCACTGACCAATCCTTAAGTGAAATGTATAAACATTGTGCCCAAAGCCCAYGAGATTGCTGTCACGGAGCTTAACAAAGGTCTATAAATAGGGTGACCGGGATTCTTAAAGGAAATGTAAATATGGACACAAAGTGGAAAATGTATCTAAATCCCTGAAGCTGCTTTGAAATCCTTAGCCAACGAGGATAAACGGCCACAACAAATAACGTTACTGAAATCTGAATGGGAGAAATAATAACTTATGAACAGATGCTGATGGTCTTAAAATGTGATCTTAYCAGCTGACAAAGTCGGTGGGACCTTGGGCTCCATGCACACAATGCACATAATTATGTGTTTTACCAAATGGATAAATTCAGGAGCTCAGCGAGCTGGGCTGCAGCCAGCACTGTGTGCCACTCACTAACATGCTTTACAAGAACAGACATTCAATTAGAAAACAAAATCTAAAGAGGAAATGATTGGTTTTATTGGYCCTGTGCCAGCTAGAAATTAAACCTTTGAAGTCAAAGACTGTTTTATACTAGAATTAAAGCTTTCTTATCTGACTCTTGTACTGGGACAAGAGTTGTCTCTATTTGAAAACCTTTCCTAGAAGTCTTCTCATTTCTGAGCTGCCTTTGAGAATAGAAATTCTGGGGAAAAAATCCCTTTCTTAATAGAGAAAAGGATCCCTTTACATTTACTATATTTACTGTATCAAAAATTACTATATAGAAGAATTTCTTTTCCTGCTAAGTGTAAACTGGACATACTTTCCTGAAGTAAGAACTGCATTATGCTTAATAAACTCAACACAAGGAAAATGATTCCYTGTATAACTACTACAACCTCTGCAMTTTTGAGTCTSAATGACGACACTAAAGATTTTAAAGGTGGAACACATTTGTGTGGGCTTTTTCCCATTGCCATTTCTGTAAAATATAATGTATGGCCAAAATCTAGCTTACATGTGAAGAGCATACATTCAACCTAAGAAGGAAATCATTAATATAAGACTGTAAATTTATGAACAAGGACTGCATATTGCAGCCAAAAAGAAAAAAAACCCAACCAAACAAAAAGCATGGAAATGTAACACAGCTACTATAAAAAGTTACATTTTAAAGCAAATATTGGCAGGCTAATAATATCCTGATAGTCTTTCATTGCACTAGTAGCTATCACACACCATGTTAAAAAATAGTAGACTATTTGTGTACAGATTCAAACTTTATCAAAAACAACACAAACAGAATTGTGTTTGCGTATATTAGCTTTTAGCAAAGCCGAAGCATTAGATGGTTGGTTAAAGAGTGAATGTTGTATTGCAATGCTGATTAGTAATATTACTAGTATGCAGTAAATATATGGTACTCAACTCTAAAGAAAAAGCATTAATTCTGAAAKAATTTTTTCTCTGTTTTCCCCAAATKTGCATGCACACAGATTTAAAGACAAAGGTGCCAGGAAGATTTTCCTGCTGAAAATCTTTTCCCATTACCTAACTCACCTGAGGTG